GTGTGTGTCTCACTACTTGCACATGGTGTGTGTGTGTGTGTGTCTCACTACTTGCACATGGTGTGTGTGTGTGTGTGTGTGTGTGTGTGTGTGTGTGTGTGTGTGTGTGTGTGTGTGTGTGTGTGTACTCACCTAATTGTACTCACCTAATTGTGCTTGCGGGGGTTGAGCTCTGGCTCTTTGGTCCCGCCTCTCAACCGTCAATCAACTGGTGTACAGATTCCTGAGCCTATTGGGCTCTATCATATCTACATTTGAAACTGTGAATGGAGTCAGCCTCCACCACATCACTTCCTAATGCATTCCATTTGCTAACTACTCTGACACTGAAAAAGTTCTTTCTAACGTCTCTGTGGCTCATTTGGGTACTCAGCTTCCACCTGTGTCCCCTTGTTCGCGTCCCACCAGTGTTGAAAAGTTCATCCTTGTTTACCCGGTCGATTCCCCTGAGGATTTTGTAGGTTGTGATCATGTCCCCCCTTACTCTTCTGTCTTCCAGTGTCGTGAGGTGCATTTCCCGTAGCCTTTCCTCATAACTCATGCCTCTTAGTTCTGGGACTAGTCTAGTAGCATACCTTTGGACTTTTTCCAGCTTCGTCTTGTGCTTGACCAGGTACGGGCTCCATGCTGGGGCCGCATACTCCAGGATTGGTCTTACATATGTGGTGTACAAGATTCTGAATGATTCCTTACACAGGTTCCTGAACGCCGTTCTGATGTTAGCCAGCCTCGCATATGCCGCAGACGTTATTCTCTTTATGTGGGCTTCAGGAGACAGGTTTGGTGTGATATCAACTCCTAGATCTTTCTCTCTGTCTGTTTCATTAAGTACTTCATCTCCTATTCTGTATCCTGTGCCTGGCCTCCTGTTTCCACTGCCTAGTTTCATTACTTTGCATTTACTCGGGTTGAACTTCAACAGCCATTTGTTGGACCATTCACTCAGTCTATCCAGGTCATCTTGTAGCCTCCTACTATCATCCTCTGTTTCAATCCTCCTCATAATTTTTGCATCGTCGGCAAACATTGAGAGGAACGAATCTATACCCTCTGGGAGATCATTTACATATACCAGAAACAGTATAGGTCCAAGGACTGACCCCTGCGGGACTCCACTTGTGACGTCTCGCCAATCTGAGACCTCACCCCTCACACAGACTCGTTGTCTCCTGTTGCTTAGGTATTCCTCTATCCACCGGAGTACCTTCCCTCTCACTCCAGCCTGCATCTCCAACTTTCGCACTAGCCTCTTGTGTGGCACTGTATCAAAGGCTTTCTGACAATCCAAAAATATGCAGTCTGCCCACCCTTCTCTTTCTTGCCTTATTTTTGTTGCCTGGTCGTAGAATTCAAGTAACCCTGTGAGGCAGGACCTGCCATCCCTGAACCCATGTTGATGCTGTGTTACAAAGTTCCTTCGCTCCAGATGCTCCACTAGTTTTTTTCGCACAATCTTCTCCATCAGCTTGCATGGTATGCAGGTTAGGGACACTGGCCTGTAGTTCAGTGCCTCCTGTCTATCCCCTTTCTTGTATATCGGGACTACGTTAGCTGCTTTCCAAATATCTGGCAGTTCCCCTGTTGCCAGTGATTTGTTATACACTATGGAGAGTGGTAGGCTCAGTTCTCTTGCTCCTTCCTTTAGAACCCAAGGGGAGATTCCATCTGGGCCTATAGCCTTCGTCACGTCCAACTCTAGTAAACACTTCCTTACTTCCCCACTGGTAATCTCAAACTCTTCCAGTGGTTCCTGGTTAGCTATTCCCTCACTTACCTCTGGAATTTCTCCTTGTTCTAAGGTGAAGACCTCCTGGAATTTCTTATTCAATTCCTCACACACTTCCTTGTCATTTGTAGTGAATCCTTCCGCCCCTATCCTTAATCTCATAACCTGTTCCTTTACTGTTGTTTTTCTCCTAATGTGGCTATGCAACAATTTAGGCTGAGTCTTTGCCTTGCTTGCGATGTCATTTTCGTATTGTCTTTCTGCCTCTCTTCTCATCCTGACATATTCATTCCTGGCATTCTGGTATCTTTCTCTGCTCTCCAGTGTCCTGTTATTCCTATAGTTTCTCCATGCCCTTTTACTTTGCTGCTTAGCTAGCCTACATCTTTGATTAAACCATGGGTTTCTCATCTTCATTTCTCTGTTTTCCTTTTGGACTGGGACAAACTTGTTTGCTGCGTCCTTGCACTTCTGCGTGATGTAATCCATCATATCTTGGGCCGTCTTTCCCCTGAGCTCTGTTTCCCATGCTATATCTGTTAGGAATTTTCTTATCCCCTCATAGTTTCCCTTTCGGTATGCTAACCTTTTGGTTTCGGTATCCCTCCTCGAGTTCAATAACCCTTCTTCAATCAAGTACTCAAACACCAGTACACTGTGGTCGCTCATTCCTACTGGGTCCTCAAAACCGATTTCTCTTATGTCGGAGTCGTTCAGAGTGAAGACTAGGTCGAGTCTCGCTGGTTCGTCATTGCCTCTCATCCTTGTGGGTTCTCCGACATGCTGCGTTAAAAAGTTGCTTGTCACCACCTCCAATAGTTTGGCTCTCCACGTATCCTCGCCTCCATGCGGTTCCTTGTTCTCCCAGTCAATCTTTCCGTGATTGAAGTCGCCCATGATGAGCAGGTGGGATCTATTTCTACAGGCAGCAGAGGCTGCCCTCTCAATTATAGTGTTAACTGCCTTGTTGTTGTTTTCATACTCTTGACTGGGTCTCCTGTCATTTGGTGGAGGGTTGTATATTACTGCTACTACTATTCTTGGTCCTCCCATTGTTATGGTGCCTGCTATGTAGTCTCTGAACTCCTCACAGCCCGGGATGGCCATCTCCTTAAAACTCCATTCCCTTCTCATGAGTAGGGCCACTCCGCCTCCTCCTCTACCTTCCCTCTCTTTCCTTATTACTGTATACTCCTGGGGAAACACGGCATTCGTTATGATTCCAGAGAGTTTTGTTTCAGTGAGTCCGATTACATCTGGGTTAACTTCTTGTGCTCTTTCCCTTAGTTCACTTGTCTTGCTTGTGATCCCATCTATGTTCGAGTACATCACCCTGAAACTGACTCTCTTCTGCTTCTTTTCTGGGGGGGACCTTTGGGATCTGGGGTGAGTGGGAGCTGGGGGGACCTGGCACGGGGGGATTGGTGGAGGAGGGAGGGCTTGGGGTGGTGGGGGAGAGGGGGAGGGTACAGGGGGTGGACTTGGGGTGGTGTGTGTGTGTGTGTGTGTGTGTGTGTGTGTGTGTGTGTGTGTGTGTGTGTCTCACTACTTGCACATGGTGTGTGTGGGTCCCACTACTTGCACATGGTGTGTGTGTGTGTGGGTCCCACTACTTGCACATGGTGTGTGTGGGTCCCACTACTTGCACATGGTGTGTGTGGGTCCCACTACTTGCACATGGTGTGTGTGTGTCCCACTACTTGCACATGGTGTGTGTGTGTGGGTCCCACTACTTGCACATGGTGTGTGTGTGTGTGTCTCACTACTTGCACATGGTGTGTGTGTGTGTGTGTGTGTGTGTCTCACTACTTGCACATGGTGTGTGTGGGTCCCACTCGTTGCACATGGTGTGTGTGTGTGTGTGTCCCACTACTTGCACATGGTGTGTGTGGGTCCCACTCGTTGCACACAGGCTTCGTGTGCAACTATGTGCACAAAGACTACACCTCTACTTGGTGCACTGTTTACACATGGGCCTTGATGTGTAACACATCAGTTGTATGACTCGCTACGTGCACACATGTTTCACCATCCATTACTTGCACATTTGCTTCATTTACAGAAAAGCGACATACAATGCAAACATATTCTCCCCCCATCCCGAAATACATTATTATTATTTAAATAATTAAAATACATAAAACTCCTCCTCCACTCTGCATAAATAAAATTATATTTGTGCTAATTAGTAAGGCATCTCCTTAATAACATTTATGGTTATACAATATGCAACTCATAGGTTATATACAAAATTAGCTAAAGTGTCTTTGGTGAACATGACTCCTTACATTAAAAAACTACAGCACTTAGTTTCATCATCCTTCACTGTGAAAAGGCAGCACTTCCCATGTGAAAAAAGTGTGAGATTAGTCGAGGACCTCAACATGACAACTCTATCCCAGGCCACTGTCGAACACATGGTGCCAACTGAACTTTTAACTAGGCACAAATTGATATCTCGTAGATGTTACTGTACATCACCGTACATTCCTCTTATTTATTTAGTGTTTGTGTATGGCAAACAGGACATGTTATTGATCTGATATTTTAACCACATTTGATTGTTGACATGAGTGAAAGAAAAGTTTCACAAACATTAGATGGTCACACCTATCAGATTTGTGGATTACGTAACAGGAACCCGAACTTCAGATTTCATTTATACAGAAAGCGTACATTAGCCATAAACCCAAAGCTTTAACAGTCTGTTTTTACATTAAAACAATGAGCCATTTATGATACAACTATTTTGTGTAGTGTACATACAAAAGGTGGAAAATTTTTGGTGCCACATACCGCCTTCCGAAAAAAAAGCAGGTTAAAGTTCCATTATTTTAAGGTTACAAATACTAAGGGGTCTAAGGGGTAGGATGATACCAAGACTTAACACCAACATCTTCAGTACTCCTGTCGTCTTGGGCGCACACATTATCTGTGAAGCAGAGTTTACAAAAATAATTTTGTCTAACAAGGCACCAATAATCACTACTGTTTCATTGCAAATTATACATGGTAAATATTAAGCTGTTTAAACATCACTATGCCTTCTCAAATTTCATTAATTACTATGCTATGTAGCTTGTTTGATTTATCAGAATAACTATCTAAAGTCCTGGGGCCAGATTCACGAAGCAATTACGCAGGAACAGTACATACGAACGTGTACATCTTTCCCCAATCTTTGATGGCTTTGGTTATATTTTTTAAACAGTTTACAACCATGAAAACTTGCCAATCAACTGTTCTTGTTGTTATAAACAGCCTCCTAGTGCTTCGGAGCTCATTAACTGTTTAATAACTGTAAACAAAGCCACCAAAGATTGAGAAAAGATGTACGGGTTCGTAAGTGCTTGAGTAACTGCTTCGTGAATGTGGCCCCTGTATAGTATTTTTAAGAGCATAATTATGAATAGAATGACGTGATAATTTAAGTTTGTATGTTTAGGTACATACACATGAATATCTGTAGATTTCCTCTTGAGCAGAAAATTCTATAGTTTGATGCTCGACACCTTAAATTCCACTAACAATTTTCATCTGAGAATCCAAATACTGTACTTAACTCTTTGAGATCTATGGTTTAGTCATATTTACAAAAAATCTTTGCATTTCTATAACACACTTAAGGAACGGAAATGACTAGTGTCTAATTTTACTGGTAGCTGGTGGGGAGTCCAGCGTAACAACGTAGTTCTCCACTAGAGAAGCACTATCAATCCCAACTGGAACTACCTCTTTTTTTACTGGAACTAATTTGGATTTTTTATTTGCTGAACAAAAGTTTTCAAATGTCCAAGATGTAGCTTGATTTCTTCTGCTTTTCTGTGCAACTTCTACCCTAAGAGAGCCTCTGAACCCATTCACTCTATCTTTGGTGCATTCCTCACTTCGAGTTATTTTTCGACATCTGCCCAGCATCCATATTATCATGCTGCAGAGTGTCAAGAGCAGAAGAGCTCCAATACCAACACCTACGCACCATACTACAACATTTGACACGCTTTCTGAATTTGCCGTTATTGACATTTCTCTTGCAGAAACTTCTAATGGCATCTTCTCCCTTGCAATACTTTCTCTCGTTACTTCTCCATATTTATTATGCATCATGCGCATTTTTTCATTTATGTCCGAGCTTTTCTTACGAACTGACGATCGTCCATAAGGAATATCGCCCTGGTCTTGCACGAAGTCATGTGGAATATCATCCTTCAAAAGTGGAATTAGAGACACCGGAAATTGCCTGGAGGACTTCTCACCAACTACCTCGGAATCCTCTTCAGAGGTTTTGCTCTTTCTTGTGGTAGAAGTTGTAGGGGATACTGTATCTGTCTTTGGTGCAGTCATAAAAGGATATGTGGTTAAATAAGCAGGGTAATTCTTGGCTGTTGAGCTGGTGGTTACAGAGGTGGACTTGAATATTACCGGAGTTGCGAGGCTCTGCAAGACAGGATTTCCATGTGAATCTACGAGTTCCACCTGTTAAAAAAAATGCTGGTGTAAGTAGAACATAGTTTAATTTAATTTAAACTGGCAAGGAATATAGATGCAACAGACTTACCAAAACCTCTCGGAATAACAAAAAGTCAAAATGTCTTTATATTCCCAAACATATATGTCCTAAAGTTAACAAAAAAAAATCATAATTCTGTTACTAAATGGCTTCCCAATAGATTATGTTAGGAGCATCTAAAACTAACATTAGCGGTTATATGGCCAGTAACGTCTAGATACCAAAATATAATTTACATAGATGGATCAAGTAAACAAACTAAATGGAGAAGCCGGTCTGTAAGGAAGTCTACAAATAATATGGAGGTACAGTACTTGCAATTTATGTTACAGGTTTTGTGACAATGTACCACTACATACAACGAAGGTGCAGTGCACCTTCGTATAATCTTTGTATAAATTTTCGTGCATGCATTAATTTTTTGAAATATTGAACAGCTACAGTTTATTTAATATGGATAAATTTGTTAGGTATGTTCTATCAAAGCCACTATACAGACAGCCACGGCCCCCCTACAGGGACTCGTAATCCCAGGGTCCAGGTTCGATCCCAGCTGCGGAAACAGATGGGCAGAGTTTCTTTCACCCTGATGCCCCTGTTACCTAGTAGTAAATAGGTACCTGAGAGTTACCCAGCTGTTACGGGCTGCTGTAGTTAGTAGCACTTGATTGAGTGACAGTCGAGAGGCGGGCCTAAAGAGCAGAGCTTAACCCCTGCAAGTACAATTAGGTGAATACACAGCGTTTTGAGCCAATGCATAAATCTGTCAATGTAGCCAAAAGAGGGAGAACCAACCTGTAAATAATATGCTTGGCCTGGCCATAGAGACACCTCACTGGTCACTTGATCCGTCAACAAATGGCCTGACACAAAGCCAGATTCTTCAACCCAGGAGAGCAAGTATTCCACGCCACCAGAACCACGTGCCTCCCAAGCCACTTTCACCTCCGCTAACATACCAAGATCCACCTTCACAACCTCAACTGTCCACGAGGAATCAACCTGGAAGGAAAATTGTGTGTTAAATCGAAAATCCACATTGTACTGTTCTTTATTGTATAGTTGTAGTAATTTATGAGGGGCTATGTAGGTAAATATCAAGTTGAGATTAGTATTCATTAAAACTAATGTTTAATTTGTATTGACTTTACAAAATATATAAGCCACAAAGGTTAGCTGCTTATAAAGGGTAAAGTGAGGATAATGTATGGTGAAGCCAGACTTATGAAGGATTAGGCACTTCACAACTTTGTTTTGTCAAGTGGTATTACAAAGCTGAAATTTCCTTCACTCTGTTCAGTTGTGTAGTGTGTGATGGCTGCAGATTATTTACACTAATTTATGTTTTATTTATTTTTCACAAGTTCAACATCCTTAAAATTCATCAGGCATTGCTCCTGGTTTGTGTGCACATTGTTAATGTTATTGGTACTGTATATAGTAATAGTAGTAAAATTATGTTCATAAATCCTCATATCTAAGTATGTGAATGATTCTCATTTGCATACTATGCCTCATTTACTGCACACTATTGTGTCCACCCTCATACTAGTTATTTTGTTGGTGTCAGTTCTGCTTCTGACATGGCTTCCAATTGCTGTCAACATACAAAGTGAGAGTTAAAAAGATTAATATTTTTAGGGTTGTAATATTAACAATTGTGTAACTAGCTACACAAAATTGTCACTTGCTTAGCTAAATGAAGTATGGGGTTCAATTCCTGAACCCAATATGTGCCTCTAACCCTTTCCATCACTGCCCATGGGATGAGTATGGGGTGCATAATAAAGAAATGAATAAATAAATAAATAATGGCTATGGATAACAGACTTTACTTTAATACAAACGTACAACACAACAAATATATTTAACAGTAGCCATATTGTCCAAAAATCAATATTATGTTCCTCATTATGCTTTTTAATCTACATAACTACCTGCATGTCACTTTTGGGTAATGTGGTTAGGGCTCAACTACTGCAGGTCGCTCCAAGCAACAGCCTGTTGGACCAAACTCTCCCAAGTCAAGCCTGGCCCTGGGCCAGGCTTGGGAAGTAGAAGAACTCCCAGAACCCTATCCAGGTACAATCTAGGTGCTAACTACCTTAAATTCATTATTACCCAGAAAAAATTAGCCATCAATACATCAACCAACTCAGAGCACACAACACAGCACCATTATTCTAATCTCTATACAGTACTATACATTTCTACAAACATTACATGCTTTCTGCGTGTTCTCTATACTATAATACAGAGAGTTGTTTAACATTAAATCAGTTCAGAGTAATTGCCAAGAAACATTTAATATCTTTAGACCAGCTAGACGAATATCAGTACCGGAAGATGCAGCATTGGCTTGGAATCCACATCTGGTGAAGCACAATACAAAAGTGTGTAGGTTGATTTGGAAGGATTTCGGGGCTCAACATCCCTGCGGCCCAGTCCCTGACCAGGCCTCCTATTATTTTGGGGGCAACAAAATTAGTGCAGAACCTAAAAGAGGACTAAGCTACGATGATAGATCAAGGGAGCAAAATCTCACAACGTTAGAAGAGAGAAGAACCCGAGGGCATAAGATCACAACGCTAGAGGAGATAAGAAACCGAGGGGATAAGGTCACATCGTACTAGATGCTGAGGAGAACAGACAAGGTCATAATGTTAGAAGAGAGAACCTGAGGGGGGGTCATCCATATTACTAGAATGGGTAAAACCACTTGTTGAGCCTCTGTAGTTAATTTCTTATATTTGGTAACAAATTTGAGGATCCCAGTCATATGATGTGTTGTTTGAAGCATGGATGGGTTTCATACTGTCAACATTTTACATGTCTATTACCTCGTCTATCTAAATAGTCAACATTTTAGCCAGGCAGTCATGTTCCCAGTTGAAGAGAAATGGCTCAGCAATCCAAGAAGGGAAGTTCATGTGATTACTTGTGTACATTAGTATTTTATTTTACATACAGCATACAAAGTTCATTCCCCGGTTAAATTCCTCCCTTGGAAGAAAGTGCCTCCCGTTTACAATACAATACAATACAATTTTATTTAGGTAAGGTACATACATACAATAAATTTTTACAAGGATTGGTTGACTTATAGGTAGAGCTAGTACATACAATGCCTAAAGCCACTATTACGCAAAGCGTTTCGGGCATGGTCAATCAATGGTTTGAGAATCAATGCTGTGGAACAAGGGGGGAAAAAAGGTTATTTTTCGTAGGCCTCCACTATCTTCAAAGGCCCCCACCGTCTAGTAGGCCTGCACTATCTAGTAGGCCCTAGGCACTGTGCCTATGGTTAATCCGTCCTGTGTATGGGTACCGTTCTTAATCTTTCTCCAACTTTTACTTCTATTTAAGTTCCCTCATTTATTTTCACATTTGAAATCCCCCCCAAAAGTTATCTACCCAGGTCTTACCCCCATTCACTTTCTTGGACATTATTCCCGTAATTTGCCACCATGTAAATTACGATTAAGGTTAACTTTTAATTGTCCTTCATAATTGTAACTTAAATTATGAACTTGAATATGTCCCTATGGAAATTGTTCACATAACAGTGGAAAATGTTACCAATAACTCCTACATAAATTAACCTACACTGCCAAAAACAATTGTGTAAAAAAGAGGATTATGTAGACCTCTTAAATGTACACCTGTAAAGTGTTCACAATAACAAAAATGTACACTGAAAATTTTATAAAAAATTTAGTTCCAAGTTAAAAGTTTATTAAATTTATTGTTCCACCGTGAAGTTTTCGCTCTTTTTCAAGAATAACGGACCCTGTACAAACGGTCAGCAAGTGGCCCTAGATGGCCCTAGGCCCCCTGTGACCCTCCATCTGCATCTTAAAAGTCAAATTCAACACAAAAGTCAAATAACATGATAGTTAAATTACCACAAAAACCTACCGAAGGAGCTTGTGGAGATGAATTACTCTTGCCTAAATCCCGTGCCATCTGAGGATAGGATTGGTCAGGTGGTGTGTGTTTGGCTGTGTCAGCATGAGCGAGTCTGGGGGCATCACTTGCCAGCCTCTTGGAAGAATCTTGGAAGACAGAGGAGGAGTACTGGGGGATGCTGGTGGCCGTCTCCCTGGCTGGGATAACTGCTGGTGGATGTGTCCTTATTGGATTCAGCTGGTGAAGGAAGTATTTATAATTACAATTATATAAAAATATTATCTATAATTCGTAATATTATGTCTTGTAAAAGTTATCACAAAATTTGGTTGGGAACACAGCCAGTAAATCATACCTGAAAATTTTATACAATTTTTGTTTCTTAAACTTATGTCATACATTTAATATACATTTATAATTTATTGACACACACAGGGGGGCCTGGTAGCCTGGTGGATAGCGCGCAGGACTCGTAATTCTGTGGCGCGGGTTTGATTCCCGCAGCAGGCAGAAACAAATGGGCAAAGTTTCTTTCACCCTGAATGTCCCCTGTTACCTAGCAGTAAATAGGTACCTGAGAGTTAGTCAGCTGTCACGGGCTGCTTCCTGGTGTATGTGTGTGTGTGGTGTGTGGAGGAAAACAAAAAGTAGTTAGTAAACAGTTGATTGACAGTTGAGAGGCGGGCCGAAAGAGCAAAGCTCAACCCCCGCAAACACAACTAGGTGAACACAACTAGGTGAATACACACGCTGCAACCCGTCCTCCTTACACAACGTCACATTTTGACGTATATTCTACCTAAGGCTTAAAATCGTCGTACTAGAAGCGGCTGGCGAAAGTGACGTACTGTCCCGTTTTCTGTTTTGGGTCCTCTGGCAGGTTAGGATAAGGGGCACTTTAGTACGACAGTTTCTTGACGTTGGGAAACCTTAGGAGGACGGACTGGCCACACGGCCTCGCGGCTGAGTGAACAGCGCTCGGGGGTCGTAGTCACAAGGGCCCGGGTTTGATTCCCGACCGAGTTAGGAACAAATATGACGTTTCTTGCACCCTGATGCCCCTGTTCGCCTATCATTAAATAGGTTCCTGGTGTTAAACAGCTGTTGCAAGCTGCATACTGGGGATGTGTGTGTGTGTGTTAGAAATATGTAGTAGATATGATAAAAGAAAAATAGGTCAGGAGTCAGTACATTAGAGGCCACTGCAGGTTATCTTAAGATGATTTCGGGGCTTAGCGTCCCCGCGGCCCGGTCCTCGACCAGGCCTCCTTTTTGTTACACATCCCCCAGGAAGCAGCCCGTAGCAGCTGTCTAACTCCCAGTTACCTATTTACTGCTAGGTGAACAGGGGGCATCAGGATGCAAGCAACTGTGCCCATTTGTTTCCGCCGGCGCCGGGAATCGAACCCCCGGTCCACAAGAATGTGTATCCAGCGTGCTGTCCACTCAGCCACCAGCGCCGACAACCAGAGCGTAACTCCATATAGTCTCCTGAGACTGACGGCTGCCTACTACTACTACTTACTCTGTATCCATAAGGCACTTCAGAGGTCGGGGTGACGGAAGGGTCGCCCTGGTCCGCCACGTCTTCAAGGTGACGGTGTTCCTTCGCCGCGTCGTCCAAGTGGAGGACGACTTCGGAGACGGCGAGGAGGCCCTGCTGATTGACAGCCAGGAGCCGCACGCGAACTACCCCCGTCACCTCGGCCGGAACTGTCGTGCTGGTAGCCGAGGTCTGTCAAGTTCAATTCAAGTTCAAGTATGTTTATTGACACAAGAAAAAAATACATCTCAAAGGGATAGAGTAGCTGTCGTAGCTCAGTCGATTAAGGCAGTGTGTCTGGGATGCTCCCGGACGCAGGTTCGAATCCTCGTCACGGCCCTTGTGGATTTGTTCATAGAGTAGCTTAGGCTATTTCTATCTCCTTCCACTTCAAGTCCGTCAAGGGTGCTGATTGATTGATTGAAGATTAAGCCACCCAAAAGGTGGCACAGGTCACATAATAGTGATGACTAAGATCACAAATAAGATTGTGGCGGGACCAAAGAGCCAAAGCTCAACTCCCCCGCGAGCACAACTAGGTGAGTACGGGCATGAATAGCCCGGAAGTATGATGAAGATACAGACGGTAATTATTAGGAGAAAGCTCTAGGCCTTTGTGGGAGGAATATGAGGACTGAACCAAGAAAACGTGACAATTACTTGGCTCATCTGTTTTACCACCACCGTCCACCGTATGGGTATAGGGTGCATAATAAAGAAAGAAATTGAATCATCTGCTATTGAACGCCGACCCTACAAAAAGCGAGGCTGTCTATGTACCGACCACTCCACCCAACAAGAGCTACAGGGCCCCAAAACGTAAAGTATACACAAATTACTATACAAGGCAACGACCCATACGTTAAGCAGATTAGTTTAGATTAAATTATACATGTAAATACTACTTAAACGAGTATAACTGGGTATAATAATATGAATACACCAAAATTAAGGAAAATCTGTACAGATGAGAGAGGTCTTGGCTGGTTCTATCATACTTAATTGTCTATATATTTGTACTAAGGGGAACAGGGCCGTCTTAATATATATATATATATATATATATATATATATATATATATATATATATATATATATATATATATATATATGTGTGTGTGTGTGTGTATATCACGAAAATAAACACGTGATTAAGAATGTGACAATGTCAGACCACGGAGGAAAATGAAACAGGAATTTCCTTAAGTACTTTCGTATATTAAATACATCTTCAGAAGGAAAATACATCTTCCTTCTGAAGATGTATTTAATATACGAAAGTACTTAAGGAAATTCCTGTTTCATTTTCCTCCGTGGTCTGACATTGTCATATATATATATATATATATATATATATATATATATATATATATATATATATATATATATATATATATATATATATATATATATATATATATTATAGGCCCTGGACAAAGCAATGCACTGGGCCCCCTACCCAGATGACGGGGCCCCATCCGTCCTCAAATATAAAGGTTTACCGTCAAAATATGCACAAATTATGCTTATTATAAATATAATTTATTAAAAAGGATTTGAATCACTTTTCCAGCGGGAAGAATAGTAATTATACACTCCACCAAGAGCTCTCTCATGAATATTATAGCAGCATGGGGTCCCCTGACCACCACTCAGTGTGCTCTAAGGTAAGACACCACTGACAGGAAGCGAGGAACACCTTACCTGCGCCAGCTCCCGCCACCCGCCATCACCGTGCGAGAGCAGGACGTAAATGACATCTTCCCGGGAGGCGGGGCCATCCACCCGGGAGGCGGGGGCGGCGCTCCCGGACCAATCAGGGGGGCTCCACGACACCAGGCCCCGCCTACCGACACTTGGCGGGCGAAGATAGGCTGGCAGCCGGAGTGGGGGCGTGTCCGAGCGGTCGCTGGCCCCGCCCCTTCTATTAGCCGCCTTGTCCATGTAGAAACTACAGGCGACTTGGCAACCTGGAAACTAAAGGCAAACAATATTTATATTAAACAATAAAAATAAAAAAATGATAAATAAAAAAAAATAAAAAAAATAAAAAATAATAATAAAAATAAATAACAATACAAAAATAAAGTCGCGAAACGTAGGCCTATATAAAATATTTTAAGAACAAAATTTGTTATATAAAAGTTTGAGAATTAGTCAAATGTTTTCATGGTAAATAGGTTCTGGGGATGTATGGGGATGTATACATACAAGGTATGCTAAATGGTCTTTTAGGTCCAATGGAAAAAGATTAATTTTCATTATCACATGATAGTGATGACTATGATCACATGAGAGTGAAGACTAAGATCACATGATAGTGATGACTATGATCACATGATAGTGAAGACTAAGATCACATGATAGTGATGACTATGATCACATGATAGTGAAGACTAAGATCACATGATAGTGATGACTAAGATCACATGATAGTGATGACTAAGATCACATGATAGTGAAGACTAAGATCACATGAGAGTGAAGACTAAGATCACATGATAAGGATGACTAAGATCACATGATAGTGATGACTAAGATCACATGAGAGTGATGACTATGCTGTCATGATAGTGAAGATTAAGATCACATGATAGTGAAGACTAAGATCACATGATAGTGATGACTAAGATCACATGATAGTGATGACTAAGATCACATGAGAGTGAAGACTAAGATCACATGATAAGGATGACTAAGATCACATGATAGTGATGACTAAGATCACATGAGAGTGAAGACTAAGATCACATGATAGTGAAGACTAAGATCACATGATAGTGAAGACTAAGATCACATGATAGTGAAGACTAAGATCACATGATAGTGATGACTAAGATCACATGATAGTGAAGACTAAGATCACATGATAGTGATGACTATGATCACATGATAGTGATGACTATGATCACATGATAGTGAAGACTATGATCACATGATAGTGAAGACTATGATCACATGATAGTGAAGACTATGATCACATGATAGTGATGACTATGATCACATGATAGTGAAGACTATGATCACATGATAGTGAAGACTAAGATCACATGATAGTGATGACTAAGATCACATGATAGTGATGACTAAGATCACATGATAGTGATGACTAAGATCACATGATAGTGATGACTAAGATCACATGATAGTGATGACTAAGATCACATGATAGTGATGACTAAGATCACATGAGAGTGAAGACTAAGATCACATGATAGTGATGACTAAGATCACATGAGAGTGAAGACTAAGATCACATGATAGTGATGACTAAGATCACATGAGAGTGAAGACTAAGATCACATGATAGTGATGACTATGATCACATGATAGTGATGACTAAGATCACATGATAGTGATGACTAAGATCACATGAGAGTAAAGACTAAGATCACATGATAGTGATGACTAAGATCACATGAGAGTGAAGACTAAGATCACATGATAGTGAACTATTATCTCAATGTAAAATTAACCTATATAAATTATTCCCCAATGACATACAGATTGCACAAATTGACATTATATGTTAAAGAACATTGAAAAAGTAGAGACAAAGGGAACAAAACAGAACCCACAAATTATTCGGGTATAATTGAAAATTATTATATATATATATATATATATATATATATATATATATATATAATATATATATATATATATATATATATATATATATATATATATATATTGCTAGCCTAATTTTATACATTTTATACAATTATAGAAGCAAGGCATTTATGAAAAGAAACATCTAGGACTTCTTGGCCCCACAATGTATGAATTATAGGCGACTTGAATCTGAGTAGAATAAATTGGATTAATAAAAATTTTATTTTTTGGAATCAGTTGACCGCTTCCTTGAACTATATATTAAGGCGTCAACAGAGAAAAAATAGTATTTTAGACTTAAAATAAATAACATGGAAATAGGAATTGAGTTAAGAAACCAATAGAAAATCCGATTTGATAGCATATGGCGTAATTGTGTTAAAATGAAGACTGATAGGGCACCAGAGTTCAGAAAAGCTGATTTTGAGGATTAAAAAGGTTTGTTGAGGATTGATTGGCACACACACACGAACGAGGCAAATATACACATATGTATACATATGTATACTTGAATTTGAGTAGAATAAATTGGATTAATACAGACTTTATTTTGTAGAATCAGTTGACCGCTTCCTTGAACTGCATATTAAGGCCTCAACACCTAACAATAGCCTAATATTCATACATGAATAAGGAGATGTATACATACAAGAACAGCGAGATGTATACATACACAGGCAGTGTGGTCAGCACACATGGAGCTCCAGACGGTCAGGTGGTGGCGGAGAATCCCACATGTGTTCCAACACTGTCAACAAAACATATTATATCAGATAAATTGTGATAATTCAAATTATCTATGGCCATATATTTTTTTTGTATTGTAATTGATGATGATAATGGAAGAATTTCTTTCACCTGATACCCCTGTTCACCTAGCAGTAAATAGGTATCCAGTCCGACTGCTGTTACATTCTGGGGAGAGGTTCAGTAGTGGGACCTTCGGGAACCTCTATACGAAGGTCCTACATATATGTGTATATACATATGTATATACATATATTATTGTATATAGAGTGGAGCATGTGTATATACATATATAATAAAGTATATATGCTTCCTGTCCTCAACGAATTTAATCATAATTTGTACGTGTCATAAAGCTGAGATAAATGTTATAGTCATCCCTACTAATTGTTAAAAAAGAAAACGTTTCTTCTGAAAATGGTGTCATTGGAGGGCTAACTAATACAACTATTCTCAAGTCAGATTAACTTTTAATTAATACTACTATGAGGTATATATTATAGTATCATATAATACTATGAAGACAACTGCAAACACCAAACCAGTGATTTTAATCGGTTTAAATATTGCTCGTGAAGCCCTATTGAGGGTCCCTGGTTTACCTGGTTGATACCTGGTTGATGGGGTTCTGGGAGTTCTTCTACTCCCCAAGCCCGGCCCGAGGCCAGGCTTGACTTGTGAGAGTTTGGTCCACCAGGCTGTTGCTTGGAGCGGCCCGCAGGCCCACATACCCACCACAGCCCGGTTGGTCCGGAACTTCTTTTAGAAAACAGTCTATTTTTCTCTTGAAGATGTCCACGGTTGTTCCGGCAATATTTCTTATGCTCGCTGGGAGGGTGTTGAACAACCGTGGACCTCTGATGTTTATACAGTGTTCTCTGATTGTGCCTATGGCACCTCTGCTCTTCACTGGTTCTATTCTGCATTTTCTTCCATATCGTTCACTCCAGTATGTTGTTATTTTACTGTGTAGATTTGGTACTTGGCCCGCCAGTACCTTCCAGGTGTATATTATTTGATCTCTCTCTCGTCTTCTTTCTAGTGAGTACATTTGGAGAGCTTTGAGACGATTCCAATAATTTAGGTGCTTTATCTCGTCTATGCGTGCCGTATATGTTCTCTGTATTCCCTCTATTTCAGCAATCTCTCCTGCTCTGAAGGGGAAAGTGAGTACTGAGCAGTACTCAATTCGGGACAGCACAAGTGATTTGAAGAGTACAACCATTGTGATGGGATCCCTGGATTTGAAAGTTGTCGTAATCCATCCTATCACTTTTTCTGGCTGACGCAATACTTGCTTGGTTATGCTCCCATCATTATTTCCAAATCCTTTACATGCTGTTTTCCTACTATGGGCAGATTTGATTGTGTTTTGTACCCTGTATTATGTTTAAGGTCCTCATTTTTGCCGTATCTGAGTACCTGGAATTTATCGCTGTTAAACATCATGTTATTTTCTGTTGCCCAGTCGAAAACTTTCTTAATATCTGCTTTAAGTTTTTCAATGTCTTCAGCCGAGGTAATTTTCATGTTGATTTTTGTGTCATCTGGAAAGGATGACACGAAACTGTGACTTGTATTTTTGTCTATATTTGATATGAGAATAAGGAAAAGCAGCGGTGCAAGGAGTGTACCCTGAGGTACAGAGCTTTTAACTGCGCTCGGACTCGATTTTATATGATTGATTGTTACTCTTTGTGTTCTGTTCGACAGAAAACTGAGTATCCAGCGTCCTACTTTACCGGTCATTCCCATTGACCTCATTTTGTGTGCTATCACTCCATGGTCACATTTATTGAATGCCTTTGTAAAGTCTGTGTATACAAAATCTGCATTCTGTTTTTCTTCTAATGCCTCAGTGACTTTGTCGTAGTGCTCAAGTAGCTGTGAGAGGCACGATCTTCCCGCTCGAAATCCATGTTGGCCTGGGTTGTGGAGGTCATTGGTCTCCATGAAACTAGTGACCTGACTCCTGATCACTATCTCAAATACTTTTATTATGTGGGACGTTAGTGCAACTGGTCTATAATTCTTTGCCAATGCTTTGCTCCCTCCCTTGTGTAGAGGGGCTATGTCTGCTGCTTTAAGAGCACCTGGTATCTCCCCCGTGTCCAAGCCGTGGAATGAGGAAGGAGTTTCTGTGGGCTACACACACCCATCAGGAGCACTTTAGCATGCTTTCTCGTATTCCCTCCTCCCCCTTGCTATTCCCTGTCGGATTAATGTCATAACCAATCATTGACGCGGCTCCTGGCATAGCCTGGGCAGGCCGAGGAAAGCCGCAGAGAGGCGGATTACGGGAGGATTATCTACCATATTAGTGGTACCATTTGGGCGGTTTAGATCCTAAATCAAATGCACCTTTTGTTAAAAACTGAATTCCAGTTTTAAATCCTTAAAGGTGCGGGATTACCCGTCTTGACCTGGTTCGTGACTCTTCCTAACTGAGATGTCTTCGTGTCTCCCGTTGTACCTAGACCAACTGGTCTGGGGGAGATTGGTTCTATCCAATCTATTCCATCTATCCTTGCCTGTGGTCATATTAAGACCAACTGGTCATGGAGGGACTGGCCTCAGAACAGCCCCCGACTGCCAGTGAAGCAGCTATGGAGTCTAACCTCATTCCTTCACTCTTAATCCTATTGCCAAAATAATTCTTGTCGAGGTGTTTATCTAGTATATTTTATGGCATCCCACTGTACACTACATCCTGTGTCGGGACTACAATAGGGGCGGGCCTACATCTCTATATAGCTAGAGAGATTTGCATCACCACTACAATTTTGTCCCCATTGCCTCAGAGACACTTGATGCCTGGGGTAAAAGTGCTGCTAGTTTTTTTGAAGGAGTTGGGGTCCAAGCTAACTGAAATCACTAGAGACCCTAGAGCTGCCAGTTTTCTCTTTCAGCGCCTTAGTGTGGCGATACAGAGAGGAAATGTTCACTGCATCCACGGTTCCTGCCCGCCATCTGAGGAGCTGGAGGAGCTGTACAACTTGTGACATGTAGCCTTGTACCCTGCATGTGATCATTGTTGTAACCCTTTTTGTGTAATGACATTGTAAATAAAATAAAATGACAAAATACACAAAATATAGTGAGTTGTAGGAGACAATATGTGAGTGCACGAGGGTGTCCCTCAAGGCTCCCCCGGATGCTGCATATCGTCTTCTTCGAGGCCGAGGGTCCCTACAAACGCAACCAAAGGTGATACCCCCATATATATATATATATATATATATATATATATATATATATATATATATATATATATATATATATATATATATATATATATATATATATATATACATATATACCTCCACACCCACCCACACACACACACACACACACACACACACACACACACACACACACACACACACAAACACACACATACACACATACACACATACAGAGGAGGACAGCTTGAGGCTTCAAGAAGACCTGGACAAGCTGCAGGAATGGTCGAACAAATGGCTGTTAGAGTTTAATCCAAGCAAATGTAATGTAATGAAGATAGGGGTAGGAAGCAGGAGACCAGATACAAGGTATCACTTGGGAGATGAAATACTTCAAGAGTCCGAGAGAGAGAAAGACCTGGGGGTTGATATCACGCCAGACCTGTCCCCTGATGCTCATATCAAGAGGATAACAGCAGCAGCATATGCCAGGTTGGCTAACATAAGAACGGCCTTTAGAAACTTGTGTAAGGAATCTTTCAGAACATTATATACCACATATGTCAGACCAATCCTGGAGTATGCGGCTCCAGCATGGAGTCCATATCTAGTCAAGCATAAGACTAAAATGGAAAAGGTTCAAAGGTTTGCCACCAGACTAGTACCCGAGCTGAGAGGTATGAGCTACGAGGAGAGACTACGGGAATTAAACCTCACTTCGTTGGAAGACAGAAGAGTTAGGGGGGACATGATCACCACATTCAAGATCCTCAAGGGAATCGACAGGGTAGATAAAGACAGGCTGTTTAACACAAGGGGCACACGCACTAGGGGACACAGGTAGAAACTGAGTGCCCATATGAGCCACAGAGATATTAGAAAGAACTTTTTTAGTGTCAGAGTGGTTGACAAATGGAATGCATTAGGAAGTGATGTGGTGGAGGCTGACTCCATACACAGTTTCAAGTGTAGATATGATAGAGCCCGATAGACTCAGGAACCTGTACACCTGTTGATTGACAGTTGAGAGGCGGGCCGAAAGAGCAAAGCTCAACCCCCGCAAAAACAACTAGGTGAATACAACTAGGTGAATACAGCTAGGTGAATACAACTAGGTGAATACAACTAGGTGAATACAACTAGGTGAATACAGCTAGGTGAATACAACTAGGTGAATACAGTTACTCACCATGAAACAGTCGGAACTCTTGCGACACTTGGCATCTCTCTCTACCCCCGTTGCCGTAAACTGTCAGTGAAGAAATAAAATTAAAATTAAAATGCTGTATTATTCACTAAAGATGATGCATACATTATACAAGTTATACACACACACATTTCATAAACATTATGTCATTACAGGGCGTTGGAACGTCCTGCTGGTCTCCTGTTCCCATTGTCATCACCTTACACTTGCTCGTGTTGAACTCTGGCAGCCATTTCTCAGGTCAGTTCTGTAGCTTCTCCAAGTTATTTTGGAGACTCTTACCATACGCATCTGTCTTGACTCTTATCACTTTTTGCATCGTCTGCAAACATCGACATCTAGGATTCAACCTTGGTAGTTAGATCGTTAAGATAAATGATAGAGAGAGAGAGAGAGAGAGAGAGAGAGAGAGAGAGAGAGAGAGAGAGAGAGAGAGAGAGAGAGAGAGAGAGAGAGAGAGAGAGAGAGACAGAGAGAGAGACAGAGAGAGAGAGAGAGAGAGAGAGAGAGAGAGAGAGAGAGAGAGAGAGAGAGAGAGAGAGAGAGAGAGAGAGAGAGAGAGAGAGAGAGAGAGAGAGAGAGAGAGAGAGAGAGAGAGAGAGAGAGAGAGAGAGAGAGAGAGAGAGAGAGAGAGAGAGAGAGAGAGAGAGAGAGAGAGAGAGAGAGAGAGAGAGAGAGAGAGAGAGAGAGAGAGAGAGAGAGAGAGAGAGAGAGAGAGAGAGAGAGAGAGAGAGAGAGAGAGAGAGAGAGAGAGAGAGAGAGAGAGAGTACTCACCTAATTGTGCTTGCGGGGGTTGAGCTCTAGCTCTTGCTCGACCCTGCACGTACATGAACGAAGGTGGATGTATTCAAGAAGCACTTGGATACGTTCTTGCAAGTACCGGATCAACCAGGCTGTAGTGGATATGTGGGCCTGCGGGCCGCTTCAAGCAACAGCCTGGTGGACCAAGTTATCACAAGTCGAGCTTTGGGAGTAGAAGACCTCCCGAAACCCTCTCTAGGTATACACATCTAGGTGAGTGTGTCCAGGTGAGTGGAGGCTGACTCCATACACAGTTTCTAATGTAGATATGATAGAGTCCAGTAGGTTCAGGAACCTGTACACCAGTTGATTGACGGTTGAGAGGCGGAACCAAAGAGCCAGAGCTCAACCCCCGCAAGGACAACTAGGTGAGTGTATCCAGGTGAGTACTCACACCTCTCCTTACCTGTGTGTGGGTCTTGGGGTGTCTGGGAAGATGCTCAGATAAGAGTGAGGGACAACGCTTGACGTGAGAGAGAGAGAGAGAGAGAGAGAGAGAGAGAGAGAGAGAGAGAGAGAGAGAGAGAGAGAGAGAGAGAGAGAGAGAGAGAGAGAGAGAGAAAGACAGAGAGAAAGAGAGAGAAAGAGAGAGAGAGAGAGAGAGAGAGAGAGAGAGAGAGAGAGAGAGAGAGAGAGAGAGAGAGAGAGAGAGAGAGAGAGAGAGAGAGAGAGAGAGAGAGAGAGAGAGAGTGCTCAAGCCACATGTATACGTTACTCTACCTTAGCTGGGAGGCAGGTGTGTGTGTGTGGTGGGGAAGGCAGGTGTGTGTAGGAGGCACGTCTGGTGACAGATGTGGCACAAGACAAATGTTACCAGATTAAATTTGCATTAACCATGACATTAACTAAGATGTTATCGTGCATATGGGTGTGTGTATAAGCCTATGAGGGTGAATAGGCCTACGAATTTATGGATATAGGCCTATAAGTGCGTATTACCTACGTGTGCTTGCGGGATCGAGCTCTTAGCTCTTAGGTCCCCGCCTTTCTATCCGCCGTTTCTCTACCGACTTCCGACCTATTTTTCTCTATCATATCTACTATATATTTCTCACACACACACACACACACACACACACACACACACACACACACACACACACACACACACACACACACACACACACACACACACACACACACACACACATATTCCTGGGTGCAAACAGCAATAATTGTTGAACTCCCAGACACCTATTTACTGATAGGTGAACAGAGGCATCAGGTAAAACAAACTCTGCTAAATTCTTATTTATCTCAACTGCACCTGCTAGAAGTCAATAGCTCACTGGAGACTTCAACTAGAAGTCAATAGCTCGCTGGAGACTTCAACTAGAAGTCAATAGCTCGCTGGAGACTTCAACTAGAAGTCAATAGCTCACTGGTGACTTCAACTAGAAGTCAATAGCTCACTGGAGACTTCAACTAGAAGTCAATAGCTCACTGGTGACTTCAACTAGAAGTCAATAGCTCACTGGTGACTTCAACTAGAAGTCAATAGCTCACTGGAGACTTCAACTAGAAGTCAATAGCTCACTGGTGACTTCAAATAGAAGTCAATAGCTCACTGGAGACTTCAACTAGAAGTCAATAGCTCACTGGTGACTTCAACTAGAAGTCAATAGCTCGCTGGAGACTTCTACTAGAAGTCAATAGCTCGCTGGAGACTTCAACTAGAAGTCAATAGCTCGCTGGAGACTTCAACTAGAAGTCAATAGCTCACTGGTGACTTCAACTAGAAGTCAATAGCTCACTGGTGACTTCAACTAGAAGTCAATAGCTCACTGGAGACTTCAACTAGAAGTCAATAGCTCACTGGAGACTTCAACTAGAAGTCAATAGCTCGCCGGAGACTTCAACTAGAAGTCAATAGCTCGCCGGAGACTTCAACTAGAAGTCAATAGCTCGCCGGAGACTTCAACTAGAAGTCAATAGCTCGGTGGAGACTTCAACTAGAAGTCAATAGCTCGCTGGAGACTTCAACTAGAAGTCAATAGCTCGCCGGAGACTTCAACTAGAAGTCAATAGCTCACTGGAGACTTCAACTAGAAGTCAATAGCTCGCTGGAGACTTCTACTAGAAGTCAATAGCTCGCTGGAGACTTCAACTAGAAGTCAATAGCTCGCCGAAGACTTCAACTAGAAGTCAATAGCTCGCTGGAGACTTAAACAAGCTATTTGCTGGGGAGAAACTTTTGGGGAACTTTCTTTGTCCTCAGCGAAGTACAAGAAAGTGCTCTGGCAAATGTCGAGTTCGCTGCCTGAGAGAACTTTCTGGTTAACTTAATATCTCTTAACGTGTATGTATTGCGTAAATCAATCTGTCCTCCTAAGGTCTTCCCAGCGTCAAGAAACTGTCGTACTAATGTGCCCCTTATCCTCACTTACCAGAGGACCCAAAACAGAAAACGGGAAAGTACGTCACTTACCGCAAGTCGCTACCATTTTCTAGGACGACAATTTTTGGCCTTAGGTAGAGTATACGTCAAAATGCGACTTTTATTACGTCAACTTAAATGCTACCTCGTCAAACTTATAAACACTTTATCCAAAAAAAGGTAGCAAATACGGTGTTTGCGATTCAAAACTATCCACTGAAAACGGAAAACAATTTATCTTCAATCGCAAAATTCCCCGAATCCCCAAAACTGACAGTACCTCCACTCTTGATGACGGCGGAAAGAGAATAAAAAAACATCAAAGTATCACGAAAATCGCTTTCTGGAGCTCCAGAAGGCATTCAGAGAGGGTGTATAAGGTCTCAGGGTAGAGTTGGACCCCTTGCCGAGCTGATACCATCGCTCCTATACTCCCCAGCGTTAGAAATGTTTGTGGCAGCGATGGTATCGAGACGGTCTTCAACAATGCCTTTAGTCTTTGGGTGATAAGAGATTTTATTATCTCAGACTGTAAGTACGAGTTTAACACGATGTTTGGGTGCAAATATCGACCGTGTGGTGACTTGCAGACGTCGCTTTGTTAACTGATGTCCGACATGTCGACGAGGGAGCATCTGCGCATGCGTCGTTACTGGCCGCATGAGTTTTCCCGCGCAAAAAAGGGAATTGTTGAAAATGGGGAAGAAAAGAGGGAGCCGGTCGGCCGACCGGACAGCACACTGGACTTGTGATCTTGTGGTCCCGGGTTCGATCCCAGGCGCCGGCGAGAAACAATGGGCAGAGTTTCTTTCACCCTATGCCCCTGTTACCTAGCAGTAAAATAGGTACCTGGGTGTTAGTCAGCTGTCACGGGCTGCTTCCTAGGGGTGGAGCCCTGGTCAAGGACCGGGCCGCGGGGACACTAAAGCCCCGAAATCATCTGAAGATAACCCAAGCGCGTCTGCTGGCCCACCACCTCTCCTGCTGGCCCACCACCTCTCCTGCTGGCCCACCACCTCTCCTGCTGGCCCACGCCCATGCAAGGTGATGGAGAAGATCGTGAGAAAAAACCTGGTAACACATCTGGAGAGAAGAGACTTCGTGACAAATCGCCAACATGGGTTCAGGGAGGGTAAATCTTGCCTTACAGGCTTGATAGAATTCTACGATCAGGTGACAAAGATTAAGCAAGAAAGAGAGGGCTGGGCGGACTGCATTTTCATGGATTGTCGGAAAGCCTTTGACACAGTACCGCATAAGAGGCTGGTACATAAGCTGGAGAGACAGGCAGGTGTAGCTGGTAAGGTGCTCCAGTGGATAAGGGAGTACCTAAGTAATAGGAAGCAGAGAGTTATGGTGAGGGGTGAGACATCCGATTGGCGTGAAGTCACCAGTGGAGTCCCACAGGGCTCTGTACTCGGTCCTATCTTGTTTCTGATATATGTAAATGATCTCCCGGAGGGTATCGATTCATTTCTCTCAATGTTTGCGGACGATGCTAAAATTATGAGAAGGATTAAAACAGAAGAGGACTGTTTGAGGCTTCAAGAAGACCTAGACAAGCTGAAGGAATGGTCGAACAAATGGTTGTTAGAGTTTAACCCAACCAAATGTAATGTAATGAAGATAGGTGTAGGGAGCAGGAGGCCAGATACAAGGTATCATCTGGGAGAGGAAATTCTTCAGGAGTCAGAGAAGGAAAAAGACTTGGGGGTTGATATCACGCCAGACCTGTCTCCTGCAGCACATATCAAGCAGATAACATCAGCGGCATATGCCAGGCTGGCCAACATACGAACGGCATTCAGAAACTTGTGTAAAGAATCATTCAGAACTTTGTATACCACATATGTCAGGCCAATC